CAGTCTTGATAAGTTAATTTACAACAAAAAAGATTGATTTTTTGTGGAAATGTTTGACCAAGAAAGAGATGCATTAAATGTAATGAACTGAAAAGTAGTTCATTGGATTGGAAAAAATCTTGAAGGTTCAGATAAATATGAAAGAATTTGAAGTATGAGAATTGACTTTTAAAACCAAATTTTTGCAAGACAATACAAATATAATCAGGCGAAAAGGGAAATAAAAAGATTTTAAAGTTTGAATCTTGGAGTAAAAAATTTAAAAGTCCTCCAATTTCTAATTAAAATAAAAGGAAAAAAAAATCAAATTTTGAGCTGGAAATGAAAGAAAATAAGTGGAACAGGGAAACAAAAAAACAAAAAAAGAGGGATCTGACCATTAATGAATGGTTTAAATTGACAAACAAGATGAACTTCAAATGGAACTTCAAGAAAGCAAGTATATTTTCCAATCCACAAAATAGATTTCAATTTTATGGGCTTCTATAGAATCAATTCCATTTCTTTCAAGGAAAGGAGATGGAGGGTGGCGTGGTGGTAGGAACATTTGAAGACAGGCGAAGACTTTTCTGCACCCTTTTCCAGTTGCAACTGCGCGTTTTTGGATTCGTGGACTTTACTAAAATACAAAGACGAACAATGAAAAAAAAAATGCTCTTTTTATGCTCTTTTTATTGATTAATCGGTTGCTTAAACAAATTGGGGACTGTTTTAAATTTTTTAAGTGCATTAAACAGAAACTTTTTTCGTTCTCATTTTCTAATACATATTATACAATAAAATATTCTATACATAAATTTAAATTTTTTTATATTTTTTAAGCACACGTTCTCTTATAAATTACTATTCAAAACATAATTTTTACAAAATAATGTTCGCCAAATAGAGGCTAAATGTATAATTCTTTATTTTTAAATAGGGAAATTAACACATAATATCCACGCCTTTCACTTTTATTGTGAAAATTGTCCCTACCTTATTTTCAACTTTCATTGTGTAAAATGTCATTTTCATCAATTTTCTCAATTATAAATTATAAAATAACGAATATATCATTCTCTTTAAATAAAACAAAAGGAAAAAAGAAAAAATTAATTGCAACCATAGTTCCAATTTTTTTTAAAAGTACAAATGAGTCTCAAATAAATTATTAAAAGTGTAATCAGCACATGATGTCTCTACCTTTCACTATTAGTACAAAAAATGTCCATACATTTTTTTTTATACTTTCATCCTTAATTATATATTTGATTGCGCAAACCATCATTTCTATCAATGTTCATCCAACTTTTCAATAAAAGTTGTGAAATGACGAATACACCCCTCCTATTTAAATAAAAAAGCTAAACAATTAATTGCAATCGTAGTCTCAATTTTTAAAAAAAATTACAAATGAGTTCTCAATAAATTATTTAAAATTTTTAATTTTTTTTTTAAAGTTAGAACAAGTTCCAATTAAATTTATTTTAAAAAATAGAAAGTGCAAACGAGTCTCAAATAAATTATTAAAGATTTAGAAATTAAAAAGAAATTTTTATTTTTATTTAAATATGGGGTATATTCATTATTTCACGGTTCTTTATTGAGAAATTGGATGAAAATGATAGTTTGCGCAATCAAATCTATAATTAAGGGTGAATGTCAAAAAAAAAATGAAATGTAGTGACATTATGTACTAATTACCATTTTAATAATTTATTTGTGACTCATTTGCGCTTTTTAAAAAAATTTGGGATTATGATTATAATTAATTTTTTTTCTTTTTCTTTTTCTTTTATTGAAAAGAAGGGTATATTCGTCATTTCATAATTTTTAATTAAGAAAATAAATGAAAATGATATTTTGCGCAATGAAATGTGGAAATAATGGTGAAAATACAAAAAAAAAAAAAAGTATGAACGTTTTCCACAATAACAATGAAATGTGAGAATATTTTGTGTTAATTACCATTTTCAAGTATCTTTCATTCTCATTCTCATTCCCGTTCTCATTAACTATTCCGGTCTTTCTAGGAAAAGTTGTCCCTATCCATCTAGGGATTTACAAGGACAATACCAAAAAAAAAAAAAAAGAAAAATTCTTTTTTTTTTAACTAATCAATTGCGAATTGTTTTAGAGCTTGTTTGGGAGGAATTTTAATTAATTAAAATTGAAAATATAGTCGTTATTGAGTCTCACTCATCTAATAAAAGTCAACAATAATAAAGCTCAATTTTTTAATTTTAATCCGATTTTAATCTCTACCAAACAAGCTCTTAATGTTCATAGTGCACCATTCTTAAGAAAATATATAATCCCTAACTATAATAGTTTCTCTATAGTCTTTTGATCGTCGATGCAAGGATGTATGGAAAGACGATATCAAGGAGACACATAATAAGATGAAAGTGACACTTTATTTTCAAAGAATGTCAATTAAAAGACAGAAGGTTGCAAAACAAAATTTTACACTTTTGAATAACATAAGAGTCCTATCAAAAAATGACGTCGTCGAGAAGGGAATAAGAACGAGAGGAGAAGCGAAGATGACGTGTTATCTTTAAAAAATGCCACGTGAATTAAAAAATTACAAGTGAAGACTTTTCGCTTAGATCATTATAAGAGACTTATCCAAAAAATTATGTATATGATCATTTTATATGGTCTTATTTAGCCTGCTAAATTAAATAATGTTATTTAATTATTACTTAAATTAGTGTTCAGTATCATAGTCTAGTCAAAATCTAGACTTTAATATTCTAATATTTTTTTCAAATTCATTTTCAACTGCACATTTTTACAATAAAATAATTTTACACGTGGACCTATAAATTTTCTTTATTTTTGAACCATGGATTCTAAAAAAACCGCTTTGCAAAAAATTTATTCTCAATAAAATCCCTGCCAAACAAACATATATATAAACCCTGTTCGATTATCATTTTTGGGTAAAATGTATTGTAGAATAGTGATTTTTTAAAAACGGGGGCATATATATAATAATTTATGTGGCACCAAGAATTTCCAATCAAGAATTCAAGATTAATCAAAGACTGTTCATAGGATATCAAATCATTATTATTTAGCCCATGTTTGACATCCATTTTTTATCTCATTCTCATTCTCATTTTTCAACAGTACTCATTTCTAACCACACATTCTTCAAATAAAATAATATTACACATAAACCCAAAAATTCTTCTTACTTTTTAACCACACATTATTTACATCAATCACTATTCAAAAANTCTTTACATCAATCACTATTCAAAAATTCATTCTTCAAAATAATGGGTGTCAAACGAGTGATCTCATACTAAATGAAAAGATTTGAAGCCTTGAACACGATTTTTGTAAATAAAAAGCAAGAGTCAAGTTCGACTGCTTCATAAGTGAATAGGGACGACATTAGCTAATGAATTGGTCTTTTAAGTGATGGTATAAATGGGGTCTAAGGCTCCATTTCCTTCTTGTTTGATTTGTTTTAGTTTTCTCCCAAGTATTTTACCAAATCTATTATCGGTCTCTGTTTGGTGCACATTTTTTTTCGAAGAATGGCTTTTTTTTATTGATGTGATGGGGAATATGTAGTTGAAAAAGAAGGAAAAGTTATTGATATAATGAAAAATATTATTTTATTGAAAAATGCATGGTCGAAAATGAGTAGAAGAATGAAAATGAAAAAAATAATGTGACTCGAACAGGGGCTTGATAACATAAAAAATTCATTTTATTTTTTTAAGAGAGCATAATATAAACGAAATGTCTTTATGAACATCTTTTTCTCCCTTGTGTCATTGTTTATATCAGCTAATAAACGAAATATAGTGAAAGGCGGCTGATGGCTCCAGTTTTTAATTAATTTTTGACCATTTGCATTTAGTCCCCATTACACAAAGAATTTTGCTATGAGTACATAATGGAACCCATAGAGTTTGACATAATGGTAATGTGGCCACACACAATTGGGGGAGCACTTAGGTCCACCCTGTGGGTCCAGACGCCCCCCCAATTGTGTGTGGCCACATGGCCATTATGTCAAACTTTATGTGTTTTGCAATGTATCCATAGCAAAACTCTTAAACAAATGGCAACACTCATGACTGCTTCTCGATGATGGGTTGTGCTATGTGTACACAATGCATTACACCCCCCTCACATGGAGGGGGCTCGCACATGATAAAATATTTGTGGGTCCCCCTCCATGTGAGGGGGGATAATGCATTATGTACATCACAAGGTGTACACATAACATTATTCCTCGATGATTTAGCTCCTGTTTGATACAAATTAAAATTTTAGTTTTAATTTAAGTTAAAATCAGTAATTAATTTTAATCGTATATTTTATGGATTTCACAACTTTCTAACTACATATTTCATCATGTTCTATCAAAATCTACTAAAAATCTTATTTTAATCCCCACCAAACAGCGACTTAATGATTTCTCAAAAAGACAAATTTTCTACTAGAAATATATTTTTTTTATTATGATATAAGGATAGTAGATTTATGAAAAACACATCAAAAACTGATGAATAATATTTCAACATCTTTATTTATTAATCATGTTTATTATTTCTTCAAATTTATTTCTTTATTGACTTTATGTTAGTCTTTTAATGCTTGGGTTCCTTTTTTCAAGTGGTCCAAAAATTACACGAGGTGTGACTTTACTCGTCTCCCACTAATTATCCTACTAAACATACGCCTTAAGGCAAGCTAATGATCGTCTCGACCTCGAAGAGAGGTTAGATGAAAATGAAAAAAACAAGAAACTACTTGTGCAATAAGGGAAACAAGATCATCCATCAAAAATAACTAGAAATTCAATTCCAAGATTCTTAAAACAAAAAACATAATCAATCATTCTACATCCATGTAGAAAAATTAAGGATAGTTTCACAATGTTATAATCTGAAATAAAGCAGTGCACTGAAGGGAAATCTTTTCCCTAACTAATAAAACACAAATACAGATCCGTCCAAACTTCCTCTGCATATATCATTCTTGTACTTCTCTTACTTTTGTCTCTTGTAAATCTTGCCCAAGAAGGACTTCAACACAGCATGCACGGCTTTGCTCGGGTGAGCTTCGATAGAGCTAGTGAGTTTCTCGTAGCTCTTGCCTTCGTACTCCTCAAACACACCCTGCAGATTGAGCTCATTATAGAGGGCCTTGATTTTAGCAACATCAGCAGGATCTTTCTTTCCGTAGTGCTCCTGTAATAAATGCAGTTGTAATTGAACGTATTTTAATCTGATGGGGTTAAAAATTTAAAATGGTATGCATACTGGAAAATTTTGTTCTTACGAATAAAATTTTCTTTTGCTCTTCGTTGCAAAGTTCCAAGGCTTTTACAACCAACCAAGAACATTTGAAATCTTCAATATCGGTCCCAATCTGATGATAATGAATAATGGAAGAATGAGGTAAGAACTAACAGCAAACAAAATGTTGAAAATATTGATTAGCAGAAAATTTTGCCTGGAGGAACTCACCTTCCCAATCCGTTCAGGTTCACCAAAACAATCCAAATAGTCGTCCTGATAGATACAGAAACCATGTTATGAACCAATACTGTTTCTCGTAACATTGATCTATTGCACGCACACCGCACATAATAACTAATGAACACTGCCCTGCTGTGTTAAAAATAGAAACAGTCTGCTTGGAAATAAATCTTGGAGAAATTGAAAAATTCTCATCCTAGTACGTTTCTGATTATGAATCTACTTATATGGGAAAAACTCACCTGTACTTGAAAGTAAATTCCCATGTCAATAAGTATGTTTTTCACATCCACATGGTTGTCCAAGTTCTCATTAGCCATGAGCAATGCGCAGGCAACCTGCGTACATAAAGGCAACATAAAATTTGAACAAGTCAATAACTGCAATTTCAGTTCCATATTAAGAAATGGATCCAAACAAGTTCCTTACTCACCGGAATATAAAATGAGTAGTAAGCAGTTTTATACTGAACAATACGCCGGTGACTGCACAAGATTGAACAAATTCAATTTATTAATTGCAAAAAGAAAATCGGGAAACAAAGTGATGCATTCCAGGTCTGAGCTCCATTGAAATGCTGACATTACCACTTATTTGTCAAAATAAGTGCCATCAAATAAGATCTATGAGAGTCCTAAAACTAAAACCCTTGCATGAAACAGCGTACACAAGGACCCAGAATTTCGATGAAGTTTATGAAGACAATATGGCACGTTTGGTAGGAAGGATTGGATAGCACTAGACAATATTGAGAACAAAAAAAAGTTAAAATCTTGGTTACTAAAGAGTCCAGCCCTATCCAAATTGCACCGAATATGCACTAAACGTGCACCATTCCAACAGGTCTCCAGTGATATGCATACATCTCTATTCACTGTCTAGTGCTGCACAAAACATGCACTAAATGTACACCATGCCTACAGGTATGATTCTTTATCCCATTGTCCAGACCAAACATGCACTAAATGTACAAGATTTGTACAGGTCTTTATTGGTACATATAATACTTTATACCAAGAAGGAAATATAGTTAAAACCCAAAAATTGTTCCTTCATATATATTGCACAATGATAATGTCAAATGATTCAACAGAAAATTTGACTCACAGGGACAATGAGTATTTTGAAAGATCTTTTTCTCCTTCAATAGTAGTAATCAAATCTATCATCTGTCCTGACGCAGTCTGGAACTCAACCTACAAGCAGAACACAAATTAAATTCAGAATATCTTGACAAGAAATACAATCAAATGAAGTCCTCGCTAGTCAGTTACCTCATTGAACATATCCAATAGATCCACGTAGTAAGGCTTATCTCTGAAGTGTTTCTTGAGAATTCTAGGGATGTGGTTACGAAGTATGATCCCATCATTTGCAGCAATCAGACCAACCTAAAACATAAAATTTATCAAGATAATGTCTTGCAGGAGACAAAACTGTGGGCCATACTAACAGGAGATCAAAATAGTTTTGCAAATACCTTTGGAACCCGGAACCAACATGGTTGACCACGACGAGTGTGAGAATCGTCCATAATATCATCAAGGACAAGAAAATATGCCTGAAGCTGTAAATTTCGTCAACGTGTAAATATGAGAATTTTGTGCATGAAAACATGCAATTGCAAACAAATGTGAAACTACGCACATGGCATCATAAATTGTGTTTGACATACCCATTCAATACACCAGCCAAGAGCACTAGCAAGAAAGATTTCCTCTTCTGTTAGCTCTTTTCCTTCTTTTAGCAGCTTGTAGCTATCAATAACAGACAGGCCTCGGTTTAATTTCCCTGAAAATCACAATTCATTCTGGCAATATTAGCACGGGATGCTTCTTTACAAAACATCAAGCTCTTCAAATAAGTAAAATGGCATGTGTCTGACCTCCAGGAACATTGTAGTCCAGCATCTGCCACAGATATAGGAAAGATCAAATCAGGAACGACAAATAAATGCATAACTAAGAATAGTGTGTGTATACAGTCATGTTCTAATAATTATTCGAGAGAAGTTGAAACTCTGTTCATATAATTATGAATTGACATGCCACATGTCTATTTACATACCCCCAGTACCACGCACGCACGCACAAACATATAATTAATATTGTCAACAAGAATGAAGAAGTTATGTTTAAACAATACCATAACACTTTAGTCTAAGCAAAATCGTCACAAGTTAATGAACATATTAGGAGCAGTTTCAAGGTTTAAGTTAGATTTAATATATAATTATGTGCACAAACTAAAAACTGTGATGCCATAAATAATTCTTCTTGGTAGAGAATTAATGCACGTTTTTGGCACAAAGTTTTTCCAAAATAGGTTGCTTTGTATAATAAAAACTGTCTCAAGTCAAACTTATTTCATCTAGAATATTGTAGGGAGGAGTAAGAGTCTTTTAGTCAATATCTTAGAAATTTTGGTTGAAGAATTTAGAGAATCACTTTCTACTACAAGAGTAAATGAATCTTCAACATCCATGTCAAGAAGGTGGAACTATAAATAGCGCTGAAGTGCTCATTGGTAACAAAGCAAAACAAGGTAAACTAGTATAAAAATACGAATCTCCTTCCATTCTAAGCTATTTCTTTTGGCGAACTTTTCAAAAAATAGTCTTGCAATGGTCAAAATGAAAGGAAAAGGATAGAGAAAAGAGAGAAAGGCAAATAGATTTTAAAAATGAATGAAAGTGGAGAGCTTATCAATATGTCTAGAAGTCAGAGGAATCATGTTGTAGGTGGGTATAAATTGCGCCAATTGCATTAAATTATTGCTTTATTGCATACAGCACACCATTAAAGTTGTCAAGAGTAACTGTTACCAATTACAGAGACAAAATATGTTGCATAAAAGATTAGCATCCATAATCCTACAAATATATTCCACTCATTTGTATCTTCTGTGTAAAATTTCAATAACCCATCCCACTTAACCCTACAATTAAAAAAAAAAAATTCCAAAATTATATATTATTTTCTTCTCGAAATCAGGAAGGGTTGGAAGGAATTCATGATTTTTCTACTTCTCTAATTGGATCATCCTCAAACCAGTCCCGTTCTATCATTTTAATTGCATAGCATATAATAAAGAATTAAGCTATTTTGCAAAGTTCTGAAAAACTTTAGATCTTAAATAAACAAAATTTATTCCATAATTTAACTACTTAAATTCACTTTTGGTATCAAAATAAAACAAATATTCAGTAGAATCTTATTGTACCGGCGAATAAATTGTACAAAACAAAATAAAACTCACCTCTTCAACCCATTGGCGAGAATTTTCATTCCATTCGAAAGCTGGATCACTCAACAGCTCAGATTTCAAAACAGAGTATACCTTCAAGAATTCTGTTCTCATATCCGAAGTCGGCCCATTCAGATTTGCCATCACACTCCTATTCCAATAATACAAGACAAAGGAGAGGAAATGAAAGTGTATGCGAAAATCAGAATCCTAATGAATTGAAAGAGATGAAATGCACTTGGGTCCGCCAGATTTTATTGTGAATGTACACTCACATGCATCCACTTTGGAGGCTATAAAATATTGTATTTGGTCCTACTTTCTTTTCCTTTTTCCAATTATACCCATGTTTGAGCTGTCATTCTTCTACTCATTTTCTACCACACATTCTTCAATAAAATAATATTTTTCATTACATCAATAATTTTTTCTTCGTTTTCAACCATACATTCTTCCAAAATAACGTGGCTCAAACCCAACTATATGATACAATTTGTGCAAATTGACATTGGTGCCACCCTTGGTAAGAAAATGGCAGAAGGGTTTTCTAATTTAAAGGAGGGTACATGTGACAATTTACCTAACATGGAAAATATCGAAAACCAATGACAACGGGACATGTCAATGGTTGGGTTGGTGGAGATACTTCATAAGTAGGAAAATATTAGCCGTTTTGTTTGATCCATTTAACTTATTTATTGCCCATCTAAGAATTTTCATACGCAATGCAATTTGTTCAGAACACTTCAACGTTTTTTTTTCTTTCTTTATTACTCCTAATAAAAAAAGCAAGCGAGTCAAAAAATTGGATCTATGGATGACATTCTCGTAATTTTATATCGAATATTGATATTTTTTAAGTGGATTATGAGCGATATTTTACGCAAATGACGATCTCGATATAATATGTCAAAGAAAAGATGATAAATTGGACAAAATAATTGATAAATTTCATTATACTTATTTTTGATTAATTATTATTGCTCGTATATTATTTAATTCGCACATTTTATAAAATTCTCAATTATTTATATATTTTGTAAAATTTGCAATTTTCAATAACGTACCAAATTTTTATACCAAATCTTTTACACCACACTCACATTAGGAGGTGGGGACCACAAGTCGAAATTTTTAAATACACATGGACCTCGATACATTTAGACTAATTCATTTTAAAATGCTTTAAACGCATTACATGCTTCCGCAAAATGCCCAAGTTCAGTGCTGAAAGTCGAAAGATACCAAATTTTGGCAGTTTGAAGTTTTGGACCATTGTTGATAGTCAAAGGTGGAGGTTGTGTACTAATGTGTAATGGATTGGGTCAAAATTGACAGGCCCATTAAATTTTGCGACTATGACCTTCTTGTACTTCTAATTATTCTACAGGAGTTAACAAAGTTTTCAAAAGCAAGTATTCTGTGTCAAAGAATTTGAAAATTTAACAACCCTTTTAGAGCCATGCAATTTGTACATAAAAGATTGACAATCGAAATTGACAACCTCTCACATGGGAGTTCACTTTTTTTTTTTGAATTTTTTAAAGATACGGATCCCGCACGCATGTGAGAGGTCGTCAACCTCTTATGTACAAGTAGATTAACTCTCCCATTTAAGCCACATTATTCTCCTAAAAATACATTTTTAAATTACATTTTGATAGAAACTATGTGATTAAAAAATTGAATTTACGTGTAATATTATTTTATTGAAAAATGTGGAATTCAAAAGAAAAGATAAAAAAATGTATTTTGAAAAAAATAAAGATCAAACAAGGGTTATATGTTATCAAACACCGTCTATTTAGTTGCTTTTTTTATTTATTTAAAATTTAATTATAGTTACTAGAAGCTTATGTTTTAGTATTAAATACCTTTTTTTTTTTCTTTAAAAGATTTTTAATGTGAAGTTTATAAAATTTAGGGAAAATTGCAGCCACGATACCAAATATTTCATTTAGTTAAAGATTTTGCCCAAACCTTTTATTTAGTTAAGATGAACGAGGATAAGGATGCCGATATGTTGAGTGAGATGGAGGTGAAATGCTTAAAATCGGGTGGCTGATGAATTTTCTAAAACACCACATTACTGGTTCGATGCCAAATCTTAAAGAGCTGAAATTGAAACAAAGTGCCTTGCTTTTGTGGAGAGTGGGAACCAAACGAAGGAGGATTTCTTAAATTAAAATTTTTTCTATTTCAAAACATTAATCTAAAATGCTGGAGAGCTCACAGTATCCACTTCCAGAGACTCGTGTGCCTAGTCATTTCGTTTAGCTATCGCAGAGTGCTGGATGAGATCCCTTATGATTTTGGAGAAATTTCAACTCTTCAAACCCCCGAAGTTGCATGGCTTTAGTGGTTCAATTTTAGAATCAACAAAGAAAATAGAAGAGAAAATAATTGGATTGGGGGAACGATGCCTTCAAGTTATATATTAAGAAATACTAAATGCGCAGAGTTTCAAAGTTGTCCATTTCAATCATTTACTGATACCATTTTCTTTTGTGAACCTTTTACGCTTTCATTTCGTATTTCTTGTCTTTATCTATAGTCTTACTTCCTATCCTCTGAATTTTTTGGTTTTGATTTGGGGATGAAAGTGGGAAAGGCGAATGAGATAACAAAGTTTTAGGTTTGGATAGGGTGGGTATTTGTGGTTTGGATTTTTTTTTTTATTTCAATTATTTTATTATAGAAAATATAAAGTTACCATTTTATTCTTTTAAAACTAGTCAAAATTATGGTTAATGTCAATTCTTTGGTCAACTAAAGGTCAAAGTAACAGTTTCCATCTATTTGAACTTTGAATGCAAGTTTTTTAAAGATTTGATACCGTGGGTGGTACAAATGAAAGGTTTGGACAAAGTCTGCAACTAAATGAAATATTTGGTACCGTGGTTACAATTTTTCCTAAAATTTATCATTTCTTTAAATTATAACATGAAAAAAGTAGAAATTAAATTTTAATGAATTAGTAACGTGTTAAAAAAAAAACAGCAAAAAAAAACTTCTTGAAATTTTTTCCATTATGATGAAATGGACAAAAGAAAATATTAGCTGTCGTCATGTAATAAATAAGTTATGTTCAACAAATAATTTTTTACAGTAACTCAGGTAAAATAATATATGATGATATTTATTATTATTCTACATCTTTTATTTATTTTAAGTTCAGGTTATAATATGATACAAATATTAATATTGAACATATATAGTTCTGTTTGATAATTGAAAATAAAAAAAATGTCAATTGAATTAATAAAAGATTAATTTATGAGAAATATAGATGTAAGAGAAAAGGCATTTTTTCCCTTTTTTTAAGAGCGACAAGAATATGATTAAATCCACCAATAGGCACTCAACTTTATATTTAGGGGGTGTTTGTTTGGGATTTTTTGGGGAAGAATAGATTTTTGAATAGTGATATGATGAGAAATGCGTGGTTGAAAAAGAAAAAAATTTATTAATGTAATGTAAAATATTATTTTATTGAAAAATGTTTGATTGAAAATGAAAATTGATTTACTGTAGAATTTGAGAATCCCAAACAAACACCCCCTTAGTGTCACAATAGCTACCCAATTTAATTTTATTTCACCATGACAATCTAATTTCACATAACGTTTCAGCATGACAATCTAATTTCACATAACATTTCATCATGATCACTAAATCTTTTTCACTATTTTCATTAATTTTAAAATGGGTAAAATGATAACTTTGTATTATATATAAAAAATAAATTAAAAGAAAAACAAAAGTAAAAGTTTGGTAGGACGGGAACTTTCAAGTTCAGAAAAGTTGCAGTTGCACGTTTTTGACCTTCGCCAAAGCGATTTTAATCCTGCCAGGGCAATTTGACACGCAATGATGAGACAAAAATCTAATTCACTGACCGAGTGCTACCATCATCTTTCCCGCATTAGATGTCACAGAGCTCAGACATTCTCGACGCAACACCACTCGCCGACCTTCTCAATTGGTGGTAAACACAGTCTCTCTCGCGTGCGCACCCGCAAATAGGGTCGCACCTTCTTGAATTATTGACGGAGTTGAATTTACAGTTACCCACTTACCCTCACTATCGGCGTCTCAGGTAATTTTTTTCGCGTGTTTTATCTTCTCCTTCCCTAGTTTTTGACCGTATAGAACTTAAAAGATTGCTCCTTTTTACGTATTTTCAAGGTATGTAATTTTTTTATAAATTTTCTGGGGTCCTAGGTGGGTAATAATTGCATTCAATTTAGGGTAGATTATTGTTCGTTGTGTTAACCCTTCAAATTAATTTCTTTCTTGTTCTAATTTTTTTCAGTTATCTGCTAGCCTCTTTTTTAAGTTGATTATTGTTCATTAAAGACTTGGGTTTTTACACTTCATGAATATACTTTAGAGTAGGCTCTGTGTGCGTATTAGGCTAGGCTCAATTGTTTCTGCATCGTGCTATTCAGTTTCTGGTTTAATTTAAGTTGCTTATAATGAATTGTTCATCTTCCTTGATGCCGATAGTTTGATTTTATAAATTTCTTAATAGAACATGAATACTGTAAGCCATGCTAGCATCACGAAGCCCATTTTTTGCTTGTACATTATGAGTTACCACCCTTACATTCTACGAACCCTGATTGATTTCAACTCGTTGTGCATTTCAAGTTATACTGAGAAGAGACATGGATTGATTATTAGGCCGCAATTCTCTGCTACTGAGAGTACTCTTTCGTCTAGTGCAACAGACTTACGTGTGTCCAAGGAATATAAATTCAATAGGAAGTGGGAACAAGTTACTTCTGCTTCATTGTATACCCATCGTAGTTTATTACAGATGAGAGTGAGATGATAGCCAACCGCACCCGTGTTTATGAGTTCTTTAGGAGTATTGGTGTTGTACCAGATGAACATGATGGGTTGGATCTTCCTGTCACTGTTGAGGTTATGCAAGAGCGTGTGGACTTCCTTCACAAATTGGGTCTTACAATTGAAGATATCTACAATTACCCTTTTGTCCTTGGCTGCAGTGTGAAGAAAAACATGATTCCTGTGCTTGATTACCTAGGCAAACTGGGAGTTAGAAAATCTACTTTTACAGAATTTCCGCGTCGGTACCCACAAGTCCTCCATGCTAGTCTTGTTGTAGACCTTGCACCTGTTGTGAAGTATCTTCAAGGCATGGACATTAAGCCTCATGACATTCCTAGAGTTTTGGAGAAGTACCCAGAAGATCTGGGATTTAAGCTTGAGGGCACCACGAGTACTTCGGTGGCTCATTTGATTGGAATAGGGGTAGCAAGACGAGAGATTGGTGGGTTATTAACTGAATACCCGGAGATATTGGGTATGAAAGTAGGTCGATCAAACCTTTTGTGAAATATCTCGAAAGCTTGGGGATACCAAGATTAACTGTTGCTAGATTGATTGAGAAGCGGCCTCACATACTTGGATTTGGACTTGAGGAGCAGGTGAAACCTAATCTCAAATCCCTTTCAGAGTATCATGTTATGCAAACATCACTTTCTGTTGTTGTTCTTCAGTATTCTGAAAACATAGGAATCTGGAGACGAAGCTTCTCAACCGACAGGGTTCCTCAATTCCGTTATTGGATTGGCTCCAGATAAATTTGGGAAAGTCGAAGAGAAAATGCCATGGATCGTCAACCTCAGTGACAGAGCAATAGTGAAGCACGTGGATTTCCTCAAGGAATGCAGATTTTCCTCAGAACAAGTGAAGAAAATGGTTGTGGGGTGTCCCCAGTAGCTTTAAATAATGAAATCATGAAACTCAGTTATGATTACTTCAAAACCTCAATGGGTAGGCCATTGGATGATTTGATTATGTTCCCAGCTTTCTTCACTTATTGTTGGAATCGACTATTAAGCCAAGACATAAGATGATTGCCAAGAAGGGAGTGAAATATTCGCTTGCGTGGCTAATTAATTGTTCAGATGAGAAATTTGAAGAGCAGATGAACTATGACTCCATGGACATTGAAGAGATGGAAATTGAATCATCATTTCACTTCAATAATATAATGAAACCAAGAAATGACGAATCCTCTAATTATGAGGATGATGATAGTGATGTCTAGTATTTATAGAATGAGCGAGCACGGGATAGCAGTCAGTGCAAGGCAAAGGCTGCTGAGGAGAATCGGAATCTTTATCATAATAAAGTAGTATTTTCATGGTATGTTATTCATAATAAGAGATTTGTTCGTCTGTTATTGGATCAAGTCAAGGTCACATGTAACAGGGCACATGTTACTAATTCAAGAGATTTGGTCATGGATCCAAGAGATTTGTTCACAAACCGTTGAATCGGGTCGTAGGTCACACATCAAGTGCATAGGTCACGGGTCACGAATTCAAAAGAATTTGTCACAAACCATTGACTCATATCACATATCATATATCTAAGAGATTTGGTCACATGTCATTGGATTAGGTTACATGTCACATGTTACAAATTCAAACGATACAACACATGTCATTTTTCGACCCCAAGTTATCGGAACTGGTCACAAATTCAATTAACCAAATTTTGGCGGTGAGAATTCAAATTATTTGCTCCGATAAGTGATAAATTACATGAGGAGTTGTATTTCAATTTTCAATTAAAAGAAAAAGGTTTTAAATTATACTATTTATCGCTCAGTCCCAATCACCGACATGGTGTGTTTTAAACGGTTG